GATCATCGAGCGAAATGACTACAGACATCCACAAGGTGTTTCCAGCGTTCGCTAGCTGTCAGCTAACTTCGCGCCGATTGCTGAAGGTCATGGCCAACCTTAGGCGTTGGAGCGATCGGTGCTTATCTCCGTGTGTCTCGCATTCCGCCTAAGCAAAAAAAACTGCCACGTGAATGTGCGCACGTGATGGCAGCTCAGCTGAGGACGAGGTTAGGCATTGCAACTCTTGTCAATATTATGGAGTCACAGGTAATGGAGCACGAGCAGACAATGCATTTGGGATCACGTAACGTTCCTGTTACTCAGCGCGTGCTGATTATTCGGTTGTACGGTGAATGCGGTTTAAACGCCGCATCAGCTTCAAGAAAATACAATACAATGAACGCAGGAATGCGTCCCGTCATCGCCCGGTATGTGCTTAAACTAGTGAAGAAGTTCGAGCAAACTGGGAGTGTGTGTAACATGATTGAAGATAGGACAGACGACAATATCCTTCCATTCAGAAGGTAATGTACAGCTGTCAAGTGACTTCAGAAACACCATCGTCAGCAGTTCACTTAGTTCCACCGCCAACTCATGCAGAAACGTTGGAAGGTTTCAGTTCTTGCAGCAGCTTAAGGACTTGCGTTTTCACCACAGTAAGCTCTGATAAATAAGAACACTCCGGTACTCTGGGAACAAGTTCAACGCGGCCTCACGTACAAAAGCCCCTGTATACTGCTCCCCAAGTACCCCAGCCTTGTCTGAGTCCGCATACGCACAAGTTCCATCGGCCCGCATCAAAGTGGGGATGACCGAATTTGAACCACAGCGTCTCTTAACATAAGCGAAGAACTCCTTCGGATTTTCCCAAGCTCCATCAGCCAATTCATTTTCGTACAACAGCGGAGCTTTCCTTAAGCGTTGTTTACACCTATTTCTAGCCTCGCGGTATTTATCAGGGACCACACTGCTTCCTACTGCTTCTGCTATGCCTAACTGATATGGTAACTCAACCGCTCAACCTACGCTCACAGATCACCCCACCTCCCCTCCTTCACCTATGTGTTCTCTTTTGTCTTCTACGGTCACCGTCACAAACGACCCGGGTCTCGCACCTGATGGAAGCAATCACCAAACTCCCGGTTTTCAATCTGCGATCGCAAACGCCTCTCACCCCACCGAAGCTCCAGCTCTTCTTCGACCTGGTTCTCCATTCATCCTCATGTGTAATGTTCGGACTTTGATGCAGATCGGACGACAAGCATGTCTTGCCCGTACTCTTGAAACGCTTTCGGTAGACATCTGTTGCCTTCCAGAGACCAGATTACAAGGCTCTAGCGCCGTCATTAGATCGGCTTCACCGGTAAACCCTGACGCCAAATACCACTTGCGGCTTTCCGGAGACCCAAAACCTGCAGCCACTGGCCAAACTGGTGTTGGGGTTGCACGGAGTGCCAATGCTGAATCAGCTCTGCTTGACTGGATCCCAGTCAAACGTCAGCTATGTGCAGTCAGACTACGAGGTTCATGTAATGTAAGCAGGCGTCGAGACGTTAAGCGCGCTTTATTTGTCGTCTCCGCCTACGCCCTTACAGACTGCAGCCCGGATGCAGTTAAAGACGGCTTTTAGCAGCAGCTACATGAACTTCTGCGTTCCTCCAAAAGGACTGATAAAGTCATTCTTGCCGGGGACTTTAACGCACGGGTTGGCCGTCTTCCTCCGAGCGCATACCACCTTAGAGGTAGTTTTGGTCTCAGTGGCAGTCGATCAGACAATGGAGACGGACTGCTTGCTCTTTACTCTGATCGTCGCTTGTATCTTTCGAGCACTAGCTTTCGGCACCCGAGGAGACACACCGCTACCTGGCGCCCGCTCTCACATACACAAGAGTGCTCCCAGCTTGACCATATAGCAATCAGCTACAGACGGCGCGGAAGCGTAACGGACTGCTGATCGTACTGGTCAACTTATCTAGACTCCGATCACGCATTGATTCGTGCTAAGATTTGCATGCGTTTCGGAGGACCATCTAAGCGCGCTCTCTACCTATCGGACGTCGCAAACCTACAAAATCCTGCGATTTTAACCAGGTACCAAACCTCACTGTCAAGCTTGCTTACATCAACTATTGACAGTGATCTCGATTCGCAGTGGGCGCATATCAAAGATGCCTTTGTTTCTGCCAGGTTCGACACTTGTGGAGTTACCCGTCGCCCACCGAAACCTTGGATTGCCGCCGTCTCCTTGTTGCTGATGGACAAACGCTGCTTGATCCCATCGGAGTCCAGACATAGTGACGAACGCCAATCTCTGGGTCGGGAGTTGTGCAGGAGTCTGCAAATGGACCGCGAAGCTTGGTGGTGTGAACTCGCTAGGGAGATGGAGCTTGCTAGTCTCTCTGGTAATACCTGAAAACTTTTCCATCTCACTCGAGTCACCAAAGGTGTTCTATCTGGTATAAGTAAAACAATATGCGAAGAGGATGGCACCTTAAACAACAATCTCCAACGAGGGTTGGAGCGATGGGCCGAACATTTTGGCTCGCGGTTTTGTTGGCCTCCAGCTCCATCTGCTACCTCTGGCGCTCGCGCTGGGGCCGAGTGGTCTATCCCCACAGATCCTCCTTCTAACCAGGAACTCGAGCGGGAGCTCTGGCACATGAAGCGCTATAAAGCTTCCGGCCCTGATGGTCATCTTCCAGCTCTATTTAAAGATGGTGGCGCTTCGCTGGTTTGAGAACTCACCGCGTTGTTCTCGAAAAGTTGGTCAAAAAGGAAGTTCCGTCATCTTGAAGTGAATCGATAGTCGTCCCCATCTTCAAAAAGGGCTTGTACACAATCTGCTCTAACTACAGAGGCATAAGCTTAGTCCCCGTCGTTTGCAAGCTGCTGGTGTCCATCATACTTCGCAGGCTATCCCCAACACGCGAATCGTTGCAACGAGAAGAACAAGCTGGGTTTTGCCCTGGTCGCGGCTGCATCGATCAAATCTTCACACTTCGCCAGATCCTCGAGCTCCGCCATGTGTATCAGTGGCCAACGATTGCTGTCTTCCTGGATATTCGTGCAGCCTTCGAGTCCGTCGCTCGTACGGTACTATGGCACTGCCTACTGAGGAATGGTGTCCCCGCAAAGTTCGTCACCACACCGTGCGCCCCCTATAGTTCCACCTCGGGCACGGTTAGGGCTTAAGGCAACCTTTCGCCTACCTTTGTGGTCTCCAGTGGAGTTCGACAGGAATGCCCATCTCTCCGTTCCTATTCAACTTTCCCATTGAAAATGTCCTGGAGAACGCTCTGGGCGATTCGCTGAACGCTGGCGTTGAGCTCATCCAGGTAGTTGAGTTGTTGACTCGGATTATGCTGGTGATTTCTTCTTGCTCTGTGACGATCCACATGTCGTCTAACTTCACTAAACCACTTGGCGGTTGAAGCGTCAAAGTATGGTATGTACTTCTCGCCATCCAAATGCAAGGCTGTCTTCTAAGACTGACAGGTACCTCTGCTTGCACTCACGCTTGGTCGTGAAACACTAGAAGTTGTGGAGAGTTTTGTCTACTTGAGGAGTTGCATCACTCCTGGCGTTGCTGTTGGAGAAGAGATTTCGATGCGCATCTCGAGAGCGCGCCCCGCTTTTTCTAGGCTGAGGCACTCGTCGGGTTGTCACGACATTTGTCTCTGGATGGCTTGCCGAACTACCTCCACGTGGTGCCAGCTGGGTGGTTCGGGTGTACCCCGTTCCAGCAAAGTGTTCGGCGACATTTTTCCACCTTGGTGAGACATTGTATTCCAACAGGTGTGCTGACTATATGGGGAGTATTGGGCCCCTGTTTAGTAATCTACTAAACAAAGACGCATGAACTAAACATTCAGTCAACGCCTCCCAATGGGCGCGATTCCTTAAATTCACCCCGCTGCCTTGCGGGTAGGTTATTTAGCCAAAGGCTTGGGGTGGAGTCCCCTAAGTCAACTCCCTACTTCGGCTTGGACAACCGGGCAGTATCACGCCCTCTCGCAAAACCATGGACTGTATTACAACTTGCTCATCAGCTGCTGTTTCTGCTAGTCACTTTCACCCGAGTTCATCACACGCCAATTGTTTGTTTGTTAACAATACTCAATTACCGTTACCCGATTCATGTGCTGAACAATCCGGCTGCGATTCCGGTTGCTCCGCAGATCAAGGAGTTCAACCTATGGCTCTCTTTTGTCCCCGACCCTCGTTCCGTCTGGCGTGCTTCAACGTTTGGACACTCATGCAGATTGGACAGCAAGCCGGTCTAGCGCGCACTCTAAATTCCCTAGATATTGATGTTTGCTGCCTTTCAGAAACTCGATTGCAAGATCCCAGCACTGCTTACATTGACATCCCTACTGACCACAAAGCCAGGTATCACTTGCGTCTTTCTGGAGATCCAGAAGCAGCGTCAGCTAATCTGGATGGTGTAGGTATAGCACTAAGTGACAAGGCCGAGGCGGCACTACTGGACTGGTTCCCTATTAACAGCCGACTATATGCAGTTAGGCTTCGGGGTTCGTGTAGAATGAACAGGCACCGCAAAGAGAGACAACTTGTTTGTGATCTCCGTGTACGCTCCAACTGACTGCAGCGGCCACTCGGTCAAGGACGAATTCTATCGGGATCTACAACAGCTCTTGACTAATGCTAAATGGTCGGATGTCGTTATCCTTGCTGAGGCTTTTAATGCACAGGTTGGCCGCCTGTTACCATACAAACGCTACATTGGTGGTCATCACTCGCTCGATGAGAACCGCACTGATAACGGAGAGAGACATCTCACATTGTGCGAAGACAACCGTCTGTTTCTTTCGAGCACTAACTTCAGGTGTAAGAAGAAGCGTTCCGCAACGTGGCGTCCCCCTTCTTCAACACAACCGTGGTCTCAAATTTATCATATTGCAATTGGCTTCAGATGACACGACAGCGTACTGGACTGCAGGTCCTTTTGGTCCACTTTCGTTGACGCAGATCATGCTTTAGTCTGCGAGAAAATCTGTATGTGTTTTGGAGGATCCCGAAACACGAAGCAACGCAAGATTGATGTAAACAGATTAACTGACTCCTCTGTCCAGCCGAGCTATCAGTCTTCACTGGCAAATGCGCTCAGTTGCAATCCACCGCAAGAAGTGGAACAACACTGGACTTGTATACAGAAGGCAATGACCATTTCCGGACAGTCATGCTGCGGTCTAACTCTACGCCCATTGAAGGCTTGGATCTCTGCTCGTTCTCTAGAGCTGTTCGAACGCCGCAAAGATATACCCGCGGAATCAGCTTGCAACGAGCGGCGCCGTTCTGCCAACCGGCTGCTCAGGCAAAGCCTACGCAAGGATCGCGAGTCATAGTGGTCTGAACGTGCTTTAGAGATGGAGACCGCTGCCCTCTCCGGCAACACGTGCAGGCTTTCCAAACTCATTCGGTCCACTGGCCTCAGGAAGCCGGGTGTCAGTGAGGTCATTTGTGAGGTGGATGTGTCTCCGATCACCCACCTACAGAGGCGTATGGACCGCTGGGCCGAGCACTTTTACTCGCAGTTCAACTGGCCTTCACCGTCCATCAATACATGCAGTACACCTTGTTGTCCACCATGGCACGTCCCAATGAATCTAGCCATCGAAGCGGAATTCTGCCTCGAGATTCAACGCTTAAAGCGCTTCAAGGCTAGCGGCTTAGACGGAATTTCTCCGGAACTATTCAAGTACCGCGGTGTGGTGATAATTAACCAGCTGACCGCGCTGTTCGCAAAAATTTGGCATGAAGAGAAAATGCCTTCCTCTTGGGGAGCATCAGTCATTATCCCAATTTTCAAGAAAGGCGCTCGCACTTCATGTGCAACTCATCGCGGGATTAGTCTTATTTCGGTTGCTTCTAAACTATTGGCATCCATTCTGCTTCGCAGACTATCCATAGTACGTTAATCATACTACCGTGAAGAAGAAGTTGGTTTTCGTCCTGGCCGCGGATGCGTGGATCAAATCTTCAAGCTCCGCCAGCTCCTCGAACATCGCCACATTTATTACAGGCCCACTATCATTACATTCCTAGACATACGTGCCGCTTTTGACTCCGTTGATCGACCTGCTTTATGGCGTTGCTTACTAAAGAACAGGGTGCCAGAGAAATATACCGCCATCTTACGAGCACTTTACCTTCATACATCCGGCAGAGTGAGGGTTTATGGCAAGCTTTCCTCGTAATTCACTGTCAATAGCGGTGTGCGACAGGGCTGCCCTATGTCCCCATTCCTCTTCAACTTCGCAATCAAAGACGTTCTGTCGAATGCTCTAGAAGGTTTCCAACATTTTGGCCCAGAGCTTCTACCGGGTGAGCGCGCGACCGACTTAGATTATGCTGATGATATCGCCTTACTTGGTGATGATCCTCAGAGTATGCAACTCATTCCGGATCGTTTGGGGGTTGAAGCATCTAAATATGGCCTGAGCTTCGCCCCATCGAAGTGTAAAATACTGCTCAAGGATTGGCTTTAACCTGCTCTGTTGCTCACTATCGAAGGTGCACACCTTGAACAGGTGGATAGTTTCGTTTTTCTTGGGAGCTGTGTTACTGCTGACGGAACTATCAACAAGAAAGTTTCTCTTGGTATAGCTAAAGCTCGATCGGCATTTGTCAATTTGAGGCACATGTGGCGTCGTCGTGACGTCTCATTCTCACTAAAAGGGCCGCGTTTAAAGCGCATCAGTTTGCTCAATATTGTTGTATGGGTGCGAGTCATGCCCGCTCCGCGTGGAAGATATGCGTCGTCTTTCTGCGTTCGATAACGGTTGCTCAAGGAGGATCGCTGGTGTTTGGTGGCTACATCGAGTTAATAGTAAGGACGTTCGACGTCGCATCTTGAGAATGCGAGTATTCCCTTCAACAAACTGATTTTGTTGCGCCAGTTGAGATAGCTCGGTCACGTCCTACGCACGGCACCTGAACGTATACCGCGTCGTGCGCTATTTGCTAGTCAAGGACCTGGCTGGAGGCGACCGCGTGGTGGTCAGGCTTCCACTTAGCGGTAGCACATGAAATCGCTGGCGTCGTGTCTAGCCGCTGTAGGATCCGTACGTCTACCAGGATGGGGACCCAAAGATAAGGAGTGCCAATGGCTTAGCACACTTGAAGATATGGCCCACAACCAAAATAAGTTGAAGGATTGTGTACATTATTGTATTGATTCACATGTTTAATTCTACAAACATTAAAATGGCAAAAATGAACAAAAGCGGCGTGTGAAAAACAAACTAAAATGTTTTGTTCTGTTTTTTATCAAAATGTTCTATTCTTCCTGTGGCGTATTGGTTAAAGTGTGTTGCTCGCCTTCAACTAGCATGCCACGACTATTATGACGCCATGAATCTTGCTTATCTTCTTATCTTCATGGTTTTAGGCTGGCTCTGTGTCCACCTCATACAATGTTGAGAATGGTTGGCGGCATCCGGTTTCGGATTTTCCTGACAGTGTGGCAAGCCACAGCACGCCGGCGTCTACAGAGTGACCACGGTTGGCTTGCGCTGCACCACCCACAGCTCCAACCACACACCCCATTTCCAGTGTAAACCGGAAGGAATAAGACCGGGAGACATGCGGATGGGAACCACATTTCATCAACGGAGCAGGCCCACACTCCTTCACGGGTAAATACAAGCACACTGTATTTGGGAATCAAGCGCATACAATGCGGTGGCTGGAGCGTAGTCCGCTCAACACGGACTGCATGGAACCACTCTTCGAGCCTAACATGGCCACAAGGACCGTGCACCCTGTCCCATCCAGCAACGACCAACTGTCTCTTGGAGCCAGTATGGACGAGGTAGTGGGTAATAGAGAGGTAGGCAACTTGTCAGCATCCACATCAAACGCAGCCGCACCGGGGATATCAAACAACAGCCAAACACTTGAGAGAGAGGGAAAGAAAATAACTCGATTTATGCATACGGAAACGGTAACATAAACCTTAAGTTAATGAACATATGAAATAAGTTGTTTACAAACGAATCCTAGATAAGGTCACGAGGGGAGAAAGTATACTATGTGGAAATGCCACGAACACAAGAATGTTATGTAAATCGATTACAATTGGCTTAAGCTTGGTGTGCAAGTTAATGGAACAGAGTACAGGTAGACTTTTATATTAGAAAGAAAAGCATTAAGGCAAAATTGAATACCCACCACCAGAAATAAAGAGACTTCGCATGCAAGCACGCAGTTAGTAAAAAGAATGCAGCGCACCTACAGACGCTGCGCCGGTTTTCAGTACTTCTTTCAAGGACCCGTCCACGATTCTGTAGTGGTACCGAGTGGCCTCGCTCGTGGCTCACTAGACCGTAGATATTTACTGGGAAAAGAAAGGCATTAGGACAAAACTGATAACCCAATAGCTGAAAAAAAGAGACTTAGCATGCAAGCACGCGGTTAGTAAATCAAAATCAGCGTGCCTACAAACGCTGCGCCGGTTCTGCCTATGTTCTCTGCAGAACCCGTCGCCGCTTTGGTAGCAGTTCCGAGTGGCATCGCTCATGGCTCACCAAGCCTGCCTGACTAAGGCATTCGCGACCGCGTGTTCTACAGCACCATGCGCTCGATGTCGTTAAAGTACAATTCATCGGTGCTTGCCGCTTCCGAACTTACCGCTTCTTCTCTGCATGCATGAGGGCTTCCTCCCGCACTTCAGCAACTGCCTTCGTGATTAGATCGCGCCATGCACCACGATCAACCGCCTTCGATTCCCATGATCTGCAATCAAGATTAGAACGTGTGAGGCTCACTTTAATCATGTCTTGGTAACGTAACTTTGGTTTCCCCACGTGCCACTTTCCAATACACAACTGACCGTATAAAAGTTGTTTCGGTATCCGCGCCGAATCCATGCGGCTCACATGACCAAGCCATCTCAGGTGCTTTAATAAAAAAATGCCGTCCACTACATACATCCCACTTCGGCGCAACACTTCCGTGTCTGCAACGCTGGCGCCCCAAGCGATCCGCAAAATTTGTCGCAGACACTGCTGATGGAACCGCTCGAGATATCGCACATCCCGACTGTACATCGTCCACGTTTCACTGCCGTATAGAAGAACCGACAGTACCATGGATTTGTACACCATCAGCTTCGTGCCAATGCTAAGCTGATGGCTGTTCCACACTCGGTACTCAAGCTTCCGGAATGCCGCTGCCGCCTTCGACACGCGATTACGCAACTCAACGTGTAGCTGTTGATCAGTCGATATCACACTCCCAAGGTAGCCAAAACGGGAGGTGGTTTCCAATACTTCAGCACCAATGCTGATATGCGGCAATATGGAAGATTGCATTTCCGGTGAAGGCATGCATTACTATACCCGTCAGAGAACTGCATAGGAGGCCGTATCCAGATTTGCCTGTCACTGTGACATCCATGGGAACAGTCACAGGACGCCCGCGCCTACAGAGGGACCATGGATGGCTCGCGCTGCACCACCCACAGCTCCAACCACACATTCCATATCCAGTGTAAACCGGAAGGAATAAGACCGGGAGGCATGCGGTTGGGAACCACGTTTCATCAACGGAGCAGGCCCACGCTCCTTCACAAGCAAACACAAGCACACTGTATTTGGGAATCAAGCGCACACAAGGCGGTGGCTGGACCGTAGTCCGGACCACATTAACTGCATGGTACCACTTTTTGATCCTAAAACGGCCACAAGGACCGTGCACACTGTCCCATCCAGCAACGGCCAACTGTCTCCTGGAGACAGTATGGACGAGGTAGTGGGTAGTAGACAGGTAGGCACCTTGTCAACATGCACATCAAACGCAGCCACACCGGGGACATCAAACAACAGCCAAACACTTAAAAGAGAGAAATAAAAAGAGAAAGAGTAAAACTCAATTTAGGCTTAAGGAAACCGTGATATAAACCTTAATTAAATAGCATGTGCAATAAGATGATTACAAACAAATCCTAGCTAAATGCACGAGGTCAGAAAGTATAGTTCACGGAATGCCACGAACGCAAAAAATTATGGAAATCAAATACAATTGGCTTAGGCTATGTGTGGAATTTATTGAAATAGACTACAGTGAGATATTTATATGAGAAAAAAAGCACTAAGGTAAACGCTGTAAACCCACCACCTGAAATAAAGAGACTAAGCATGCAAGCATGCGGTTAGTAAATCAAATTCAGCGTGCCTACAAACGCCGCGCCGGTTCTGCCTATGTTCTCTGCAGAACCCGTCGCCGCTTCGGTAGCAGTCCCGAGTGGCATCGCTCATGGCTCACTAAGCCTGCCTGACTAAGGCATTCGCGACCGCATGTTCTACAGCACCTTGCGCTCGATGTCGATGGAGCACAATTCATCGGTGCTTGCCGCTTCCGAACTTCCCGCTTCTTCTCTGCATGCATGAGGGCTTTCTCCCGCACTTCAGCAACTGCCTTCGTGATTAGATCGCGCCATGCACCACGATCAACCGCCTTCGATTCCCATGATCTGCAATCAAGATTAGAACGTGTGAGGCTCACTTTAATCATGTCTTGGTAACGTAACTTTGGTTTCCCCACGTGCCACTTTCCAATACACAACTGACCGTATAAAAGTTGTTTCGGTATCCGCGCCGAATCCATAGGGCTCACATGACCAAGCCATCTCAGGTGCTTTAATAAAAAAATGCCGTCCACTACATACATCCCACTTCGGCGCAACACTTCCGTGTCTGCAACGCTGGCGCCCCAAGCGATCCGCAAAATTTGTCGCAGACACTGCTGATGGAACCGCTCGAGATATCGCACATCCCGACTGTACATTGTCCACGTTTCACTGCCGTATAGAAGAACAGACAGTACCATGGATTTGTACACCATCAGCTTCGTGCCAATGCTAAGCTGATGACTGTTCCACACTCGGTACTCAAGCTTCCGGAATGCCGCTGCCGCCTTCGACACGCGATTACGCAACTCAACGTGTAGCTGTTGATCAGTCGATATCACACTCCCAAGGTAGCCAAAACGGGAGGTGGTTTCCAATACTTCAGCACCAATGCTGATTTGCGGCAATATTGAAGATTGCACTTTCGGTGAAGGCTGAAAGAAACAGACAGTTTTGCTTGTGTTGATGGTGAGCCCGAATTTGGTCGCTGTCGAAGCCGGAGCATTAGTCATATGCTGCAAAGCATCCGCGCTGTGTGAAAACAACGCACAGTCGTCAGCAAACAGCAACATGCGGATGGTTGTCTCACAGACTAGAGTTCTCGCACTGAAACGACGGATGTTCAGCAACCCACAATTAATAAGGGGCTCCACACGAACACCGTAAGCACAAGCCGCATCAAAAGCACAAGACAACATTGCATGAAGATAGATATTAAACAGGGCAGGAGCTAAGACGCAGCCTTGCTTCACACCAGAGACAGCTGCAAAGTCATCCGAGGTCTCTCCACTCAGCTGCACCCTCGCTCGCATACCACTGTGCAGACATTCAATTAAACTTACAAACTTACGCGAGCAA